CGAGTGTGTAGTCATTGGATTTTGTTGTTGAATTGGTTGAAAAGATTGTATATTAATTGGATTTGGTTGTTGAATTGGTTGTTGATATTGTGCATCTATTGATTGTGGAGAAAAATTTCTATGGTTTGTACGTGTTTTCTGTATTCCTTGTCTACGATATTCTTGAGTATTTGGTGCAAATATATCTGGTTGTAAGAAATCTTCATCTGAGGATAAATAATCCATTTGATAAGATGTTTGTTTTTTATTTTTATTTTGTTGAAAAAATGGGTAATTTTCACTGCGATCCTGTGGAGGATTTGGTTGAAAATTTGTGGAATTATATTGGGCCGTTGGGTTATCCCAGTTTCGAGGTTTTGTATATTGATTAAAATTTCTTTGTGGTTTATAATTTGTTTTTGATGGATGTGTATAATTATAATTATGGTCTGCAAAGTTGTTTCTAGTGAATGTTTTGCGTGTTTTTGATGGTATTGTCATGGGTTTGTATGTTTGGTAATCCATATGTGAATATTTAGGGGCAACCGAAGGTTTAACGGTTGATTGTAAGGTTACCTGTGTTTGTGAAGGATTTGTATTTCTTGGTGTTGTTAAATTTGGGCGTATTGGTGAAATACTTTGTTGTGTAGTTGTTGTGTGTACAATTTCTTCATTTATGAAGTGTGATGGTGTCTGTATATCTTGTTGAGTAAGATTCCTAGTTCCATTGAGGTTTTCATTGTGTATGACTGTAGAGTTTAAACTATTATTTTGTGTATCGGGTAAAAATGTATTATAGTTTAATGGTGTTGCATCAATTGTTAATGGTATTACTCTTACATAATCTCTTATGTAAGATATTGTACCTATTGCTTGACTTGAGATTGATTGTGGAAAGTTTATAAATACGGGATGAGACCATTCGGGGTCCCAAACATAATCTGATTGTTCTGTGATAGCTGTATCATCGTTCGAGTTTTGGGGTCTAAAATTTTTTCTTGCTTGTGCAATTAAATCAATATTGTGTGTAAAATAATCTATTATGAACCATGCTAAAATTTTTTGTAAATCGTGTTTGGTATGTTGTGAAACGTCGTCTTTCGTGAAATTTTCTTTAATGATGTTTAAATAACTAGAGAGTAGTGTGATTTCATGTCGTACTCTTAAATGTTTAGATGTTTCTGTCGGTGAGACATTTGTTAATGGGAGTTCATTTTCTAATATCGAAATATAACTATATATTAGTGCGAAAACTTCATTGGTGAAAATGGAGTTTGCTCTTTGTGAGTTATGGTATTGTATGCTTTTTATATATTCTGAAAAAACTTTTGAAAATTCTAAATCAAGGTCGTCTGTTTGAATAGTGTATGTTCTATTATTATGGTTTGGGGAAGTGAATTCTATAGAGTAGATTCCATATTGTTGTGTTATGTTGCATATATCTTTTAGATAGTGATCTATGATTTGTCTTTTGATTTTTACATCGGGGAACTCTGTTTTACATGGACTGATTCCGGGTTCAAATAAATTTACGAGTAAATTTTGACAAAATATGTGTTGTCCTCTATCAGTATCTGCATCTACTATAAAAGGAAAGATTTCATCATCATCTGGAGTTTCGTCACCTGGGGTGTGCGTTGAACTCATTTTTTCGTTCGATGACTGTTAATATGTAATTATTAATGTGTCGAATTGGTTGATTCCAGTTGTATAGATGTACTGGTTTGTGTTTATACTGCTTTTTTATTCTTCTTTTTCCTCTTTGTGATGAATTTGAAGTTGTTTCTGAGTCAGAAAAATATAATTGATCGTGTTGTGGGTAATTTTTATCTATTGATTCTTTTAGTTTGTAGAGTTCGTCTAAACTGTTGGTTTCTGATTCTGAAAATGCGTTTCGATTTTTTGAAAATCTTTTTCGTGTTATTTGTCTTTGTTTAGTGATTATTTTTCTCTTTAGTGTTTGTCGTTTTGTTCGAATGTATCCAACTGTTTGTGTATGAGGTGTGATTACAAGGTCGTATTTTTTGTTATCTATTTCACAATTGTGTAAAACGATTGTTTGTTTATTCCCTAGGTTTTTAAATGACATAAGGTTTAGGATGACGGGTGCAAAAGGTTGTTAAATGATTTCTATTTTCCTAAACTGTTAGTTCTTACGATTTTTTGGTTAGCTTAACCTGGGTCTATTTGTTTAGGGTTGGAGAGAAAAGTATATCGATTCCGAAGAATGATTTTTACTTTCTCGTGACTAGTATAAGCTAAGGTGTTAACTTACTTAATCTTACTTAGGGGTAGTGATTGTGTTCAAGGGTTGGAGAATAGTAAATCGATCCACAAGGTTCAGGTATAATTAGAACGCGAGTAGTTCGTTAGATACTATTTTAAACTTACTAAGTCTAAGATTTATCCTGGGTCTGGTAAGAGGGGGGATCAAGTGAAGGATGAATAACCGAAGTTCTTCACTGTTTATCCTAATTTGAATGATTAGTTTTGTTTAAAAATTTCTATTAGTCTTGGGTCTTTAGAAAGGGTTGGGTAGTGAATCGACGTTTGAGGTCGTTAGACACTAATTAAGTGGGTGGGGGAGAACAAAGTTGTTCTGTTTGATCCAAGGATAAGCCTTGATGATCAAATTTAAAATGTAATGAAGTAGAAAATGATTTAAGATCCAAGGATAAGCCTTGATGATCTGGTTTTAAAATTAAGTGACTTTAAGTTTTAATGAGGTTTTAAATTTGTGTAAAGGAAAGATTTAGTATTTTATGATATTAGTGAGTTGATGATTGCTGTTATGTTTTAGGTGATGAAGCTGGAACAACAGGATGATTTATGATTACTAACCATTTATTGTCATGCTACTAATTTTTATTTTTTTTTTTTTCAATAAATATTTTTCAAACATGTTTTGTATAATACTGCAGAATTTTAGGAAAACGATCTTAGATCTTTTTATCAATCGTTATTGTATAATATTAATTTTGTTTAGCGCCTGAAATGATTTTGAAGATTTACTTCAAGGTTTTATGTTTGCAAATGGAAATCTAAATTCATTGCAAGTAGTATTCGAAATATAAAAGTTTGTTCTGGCTTTTGCCGAACTATCATGTAACTATACGGCAAGTTTCTACTTTGTCGTATGTCGTCTTTGGTTCGATGTCTTCTTCCAATTCCGGGTAGTTCTATTATGGTTCGGAATATTGGCTCGGATCTATTGAGTCGGAGAGACATTTCAATTAAATTATTGTCGTATAACATTTTGTAAATGTTTTTGTCTAATTTCTAATCTAATTTTGGTTAATTCTAATCTAATAAGGTCTTGTTCGAGACTTATGGTCGCACCAGATGAGTTAGGACTGGAGTGTAACTCATAGAGTAATTTCGGATAGGGTACACCGTCTGCTCGTCACGCTATCTTATTTTCGGCCGGATAGATTCGTGCAACTTCTTAGTCTAATACCGATCCTAATCTTACTCTTATACTATCTAGTCTCAGGTTGTTTAACTAGTCTCTGCTAGGCTCAATAGATCTAGGGTATACTGGTTTATTGCGGCTGCTGAAGTGCTCGGGAGAGTCCAACTAATTTCTAAGTTAAATTCAAATCTCTCTGGTGCTGAAATTACAAGTAACTTCAGCACTTACAAATAAGTGGGTTGTTAGTTAGATGGATCATGATTGGTTAATATTAAATACTTTACATTAAATAATCTTAAGGTCGTGAGTTCGAGCCTCACTGGTCGCACCAGATGAGTTAGGACTGGAGTGTAACTCATAGAGTAATTTCGGATAGGGTACACCGTCTGCTCGTCACGCTATCTTATTTTCGGCCGGATAGATTCGTGCAACTTCTTAGTCTAATACCGATCCTAATCTTACTCTTATACTATCTAGTCTCAGGTTGTTTAACTAGTCTCTGCTAGGCTCAATAGATCTAGGGTATACTGGTTTATTGCGGCTGCTGAAGTGCTCGGGAGAGTCCAACTAATTTCTAAGTTAAATTCAAATCTCTCTGGTGCTGAAATTACAAGTAACTTCAGCACTTACAAATAAGTGGGTTGTTAGTTAGATGGATCATGATTGGTTAATATTAAATACTTTACATTAAATAATCTTAAGGTCGTGAGTTCGAGCCTCACTGGTCGCACCAGATGAGTTAGGACTGGAGTGTAACTCATAGAGTAATTTCGGATAGGGTACACCGTCTGCTCGTCACGCTATCTTATTTTCGGCCGGATAGATTCGTGCAACTTCTTAGTCTAATACCGATCCTAATCTTACTCTTATACTATCTAGTCTCAGGTTGTTTAACTAGTCTCTGCTAGGCTCATTAGATCAGGTTCCAAATAATTGTTGATTTCAGTTTACTGATCTGATCCGCCAGCATTCGTTTTACTGACCTACCAGCAAAAGGACCTTTGAGTTAATGTTGGAGTTTTCCGGGGACTGACCAATTTGCATGTGTGCCTAATAGCATCCTCATGCGGTCCGCCAAAAATTCAACAAGGCGAAAATAAAATTTTAATTCCCCAACAAACCAATTGATTGTTTCCTTAAACAGATACAAGTCATATACATTCCAAGCTCGATTCTGTAATTTTAAGAAAACTAATTTTTAAAAAGAGAAAAATAAACGGCCTTTTTCAATCAACAAACTGATTCCGATGCTCAGCCAAAACCGTATATAGTCCCCGCGAGTCAAGTAACAAACGCCGTTGCTTTTCCCAGCTGTCTGATTATAATCCGTTTTCCTTAATTGAAATAGGGCAATATCTCTGCCCAGGAGAATTACCAACAACTACGCGTATGTCTTAATCAAACGCAGTAAAAACGGTTTTCCGTTGAGAGCTGAAAACTAGCATGTAGGTTTTTCTCTCAAGGACAAATGGTCTCAAAAAATATTGAAATGATTAAAGTTCCGAACAGCTCATGTGTCAATTTTTCCTTTGTGAAAAAAAAAATGTTTTTTATTTTTTAGATCGAAAATTTTTATCAGTCTGACGACGTAATTTCGAAATGAATTTACACTTGGCGACGATGTTGTCCAGATAACCCATACTGAAGCGAAACAGAATCATGCTCTTCAAATGAGTCACCTGAAGATAAAAAGGTTACATAGGTTAGTTCGAACTACCAGCTGTTCAAACGAGTCATTTTGATTGACACTCTTACCAATTTGTTGAACACTTTCTCGATCGTCATCTTTTCAAAAGAGCTGCCTTCGTAGAATGCAATTTCTTCACTGAAATAAAAACAAGCATGTGAGGAAATCCTACGCCATTGGATGGAACAACGAATTCTTTCACAATCCATGTAACTAAATTGAATAACACGATGCAAAAAGAGAGCATTTTTACTTCTGTGTTATTTTCCCCTTCAAAAGGTTACCCAACCAATTATGCGTTACATTCAGATTGAAGTTACGTGTTTGTTTGAAATGAGTATTTTTGGAAGATGCAATTTGTACCTATCGTTCTATTTGACGTTTTAATATATACTCTATTTTTAACTAGCCTATTTGATGGAGAAAATTGTGCTTAAAATATACATTTGATTCGACAGTGTATTAAGACCAACGAGAATGTCTGCTACCTTGATACTTTGTATTTTTCAAGTTACAACGGCAAATAATTATCACCACAAGTCAAGTCTGCTCAAAATGTGAACGCTCAAAATGACACAATTTCTTTATAAACCTTTGGACAAAAATCAACTAATTTTCGGTGCATATTCCAATAGATTTGGAAGATGTCAATGAACTCAGTTGAAAAACGTTATGAGACATGTTTTATTTTATCCAAACTTTGGTTATATAATTCTGGACAATTGAACACAAATTAGTAAACACAACCTGAAGAAGCTTAAACAATCACAAAAAGAAGCTTGCAAAATAAAAAAAACCTTGGAAATGAATACTAATGAGACACGGGATTTGCACACCAGGTCAACGTAACCGTAGACACATAAGCACGAAAGCCTAGCTACTCTCACAAAACAAAGCTTGCAAGACAGTAGAAAAAATTGAGTGATGTTTCAATATTCTTTTAAACCACAACAGGAAAAAGAAAAAATAGGACGACAAATATTTTCAACTGAAAAAATAAAGAAATCCAAGAAAATTGAAGAAATACATGAACATTAGACAGCATAAAAATTAAAAAACAAAATGATGAAAAATGATGAAGGTATTATGTATAGTTTTTAACAAAACATCGAGGGTCAGTCAATAAGCAGAATGGTCTAAGAGCAGAATGGGTCAAAGAGCAGAAAAACAAAAAAATATCAATTTTTCCAAACTAATCGGAAAATTAAGTATAAGTATCGTCAAAATTATCAAAGAAACGAATATTTTATGCACAATTTGAGTAAATTAATCAAGATTATAAAAAAAAATTCAATCAAAAACTTAACGAAACTATTCAATTCATGCATAATTTATTCATTTTCTTGGTATTTTTTGACGATTCTAATAATTGTTTTAACAATTAGCCCGTATAAATCAACTTAAGTCAAAACTTTTCTGTTTTTCTGCTCTTGGATCCATTCTGCTCTTAGACCATTCTGCTTATTGCTCCGCCTCCCAAAACATTTGCTCCGCCTCCCAAAACATTTGCTCCGCCTCCCAAAACATCATAACATCCCACAAAATTGCATTTTAGCTGGAGGTAAATTTGTACTCCCATGACTGATTTCAAAACTGGAATCTGAATAACCCCCTTTATGGTGTAATATAGTTTATCTACACTCGTACACCTTGTTTTGCGTACTTTGCTTATAAAGACTTAAAAAAAGACCAAAGAGCAACATTTCATCCAAAAATTAATTTAAATTTTGAAACATGGTTGTACGCTACCGCCCCCGACAATATAATTCGTTTGAAAACAGAAAACAAACTTTCACAAAAAAAAACAATTAACATGTCGAAAATTTAACTTTTGTCAAGATTTGAGGTTTCATTGCCAAAACTAAGGAGTAAGATTTTATGCACGAGAGACTCCCGGAACTTATTTTTTCAATTAAACTATATATCTTAGATTTCGGAGACTAGTTTTCAAAGAGAAGATTAAAAAAAGTGTCGAAATATCAAAATTCACCTTTTTCACAAAAACCAGAACGTAACCTATCATACAGGAAAAAATTTCCACGAACCCTCTCTTCACAAAACCATATCTCAATTTGAGCAAAAATCAAGAAAGAATTTTTCTCAAATTTGATATCACTTAACATTTCGTAAATGTTATTCTTTTACCTCAATACTCGATAAAACAAAAGCTAAAAAGAACTCAAGCCAATAGAAAAATCTCTTGACGAAAAAACGGATCGAACATTATACAGAGAACATAGACAACAGACAGTTTGAAAAAAGTCAATGAACGCAAGTACAGAAAATAACTGACTAGTTTTTTTTTTTTAAATCTCACTTTCGAATTTCTAAGCAAAAAATAGATGCCCTTCAAGCTCTTTGAAATTCTAGAGGAATTTATGATTGCAACTTTTTCTGATAAAATTAACTCAATTTGAGAAAACTGAATCAAAAAGTAAAGTTTAAATTTCACTTTCGAAACGTTGATCACGTTTTTCGTGGCCTTTACAATGTTGCTTTTCGATAGTGGATTTTGCCTTCATTTCAAGAAAAGAAATGAACTGAACTTCGAAACAAATAAAAAGACAAACGACGAAAACTCAAACTTGAGTCCGAAAAAAGTTATTTATATTTTCTTTCCTCATTTACAATTTTGTTATTCAAGAAGGAAATCAAAGTTAAATAGCAATAGATAAAATTTGAGCGTGACAAATTGAACAAATTTCAAACTTTTCCTGAAAAAAAGTCACCATGCTCATCGAGTCTTAGGTCTTGTTTATAACCACATGACTTTAATTGCCGTTTACAAAAGGACTTGACCATCACAGTAAAGCTAAAAAAATAATGTTTTTTTTCTAGTTATTTTTAAATGAGGGTCGGAAAGTTTGATATACATCTTTCAAATTATTCCGTTTGCTAGCTAAATCATATGATATGGCCAGAAATCATTAGAAAAACTTCGGTAATTAGCCAACAACACTAAATCTGACACCAAATAGACAGAAAATTAACCGAAAATATCTGGCAGAGCCAAGAAAATTTCATATAACAAGACCTTGCATATACTACCTACATATCAAGCACGCAACATACTACTTGCATAAAAAGTAAGCAGGAGCCTATTTATTTATTGCATGAGTGAATTTTCCATATCTAATTGTGACTTTTCTAGCAAAATTATTTACGGGAAAAGAAATTCTAGTACCCATTTGCAAAACCCTTGCTTATGAAAAGGTTAAAGGTTAGAAAAAGTTCAAGAATCATAATAAGCGACTGATTTTTCAGATAACAAATCGCTTCACCTCTAAGCTATTAAAGGTCCCGCTTGGATCAGCGTCGGACGAGCCAGATACGTCACCTCGACGCCAGCTATGCACTATGAAATTCTGACTTCGGTTCAAACTAATTAGGCCGTTATGTGAACAAAATTGTTAGTGGGTACAAATTGTGCATGGTCGCCATACCCTTGGTAATCGCAAGGGTCAACAAAAGAGGTCGGAAAAAGTTTTCAGAAAAAGTTTAGTTCAAGCAGTTCAGTTCAGTAAAAACTTCCGTTGGTAATATTTTTTGGCGCTGGTTGGCAAAGAATACGGCTCATCTATTTTGCGCAAAGTTCGTTCGCAGCAAAATTTCTATTCTTAATTTTTTCCTATTTTTTTAGCACTGATTCGTTCAAGATAAGAGGCTTATTCAATCTGCATCTTAAGACATTGAAACATAGCCAACTGACAATTGGAAAAGAGTAATGAACACAACGAAATACAAAAAAAACTTATTTAATGAAAAAAATCAGCTTTAGAATTTTTAAGAAAAAACACACCCTTAACGCTCTTTGAATTTCACGAACGATTTATGATTGGTGCTTTTTAGATGAAATTAACACAAACTGAGAAAACTGGATCAACAAGTACAGTTTTATTTTGCTGGGAAATCTGATAATTAAACTCCATGACCTTTACACTTTCGCTGTTCGATAGTGGATCACAATTGAACGTGAAGAAAACTATAGACTTTTCCTTAAAGAAAAAACAGAAAAATCACCAGACCTATCTAAGTGTATTCAAAATTGAGAGTGAACAAATTTTAGGACTTTTTCCTGGAAAAAATAAACAAAAAAACTCACCAAGACCTATAAAAGAGTAGTCACAACGTTAATTAATCACTAGGGGTATAGTATGGAGCTTGATTGACGTATTAGTAACTATACCTGTAAGTTATGAGTCTTGAATTGACGAATCTGTACTCTCCTTCGAGTCTCTGTTCCTCCACCGTCATCTTACTCACCGGCTTCCTCAGTCTAGTCAACACTCCCCCACTCAACAACATGTAGCCTAATACACAAACCAACTCATTATAATGACATGCGGATACAGTTTAGACGTCTATTGAATCATGAAAAATTATATGCAATTTTTTTGTCTAAGACACGAGCCTATAAGATCCAAAACTTTGTACAGTAAAATTTTTGAAACTTTCTGAATCTTAAATGCAATTCTTTGGCTTCAAAATGTCAACTAAGTGTTTAAGAGCAATGCCAATCATCCCAGCGCGAACTCAGCTGAATCTTGACAGGTACACAAATGCTACAATTTTGATTTTTAAAAGTAGTTTGCATCGTGTTCCACTTGAGCCTACTCTCGTATGCGTGTTGCCCAATATTCAATTAAGAATACCAAAATGTGACGATGTTTGCATGCTTTGTTTGCTCTTCGTCAAGATCGGAAACATGCATAAGAGCGACTTAGTTATATTTTCTTACTTTGATTTTCTCGGAAAGCTAATGATTTGGGATTCGATGTCTCTAAATATTTCTCAAAAATACCTATCATGGCCAATGGAGTGTGCGCCCCTAGTACCCTCGTCAATTTCGTGGCGTAGATGGCAATGTCAAGGATTGGTTTGCTGATGTTGGAGTAGAGATCTGTGATGGTCTGTGAGAACTTCTCCACGTCTTGAGTGAGCAGTTGGTCCGCATTAGCTATCCTTCCGTCGAGATTTCCCATCTTGTAATACACCAGTTTTCTGGTAACAACCACCGACGATTTCAATAACTGGAAAATACACTAGTGACTAACTATAAAATGGGAGGGCCACTGGAAACTCACTGGAGATAGAGGTCGTAAAGGTACTTTGTGAGTCTGACTCTGAAGGCAAGTTGGAGCGAACTGAGAGAATACTGCGGCGCAAAACAGAACACAGTCATTATTTCCTCTCATAACCAACGAAATTTGTTTATTTAATTGTTTAAAAAACTGGAAAAAACTTTGTCCTATTTGTTATCAGTTGAATTTAAATGAATTTATAAGTCAGCTCAAAAGCATTACTAGCAGGTTGGTCTAGCCTGTTAGCGTGCAAATGATAAATATTTTCACTATTTTCATGTCATCCATTGAAGTTATACGTATATAATTTGTTTTCACAAAATAACATGGACATGTTACCTTTAGCACGTTGTTGGTGATTGCCAGGAAAGGCATAAGGGTAATGAAGAATGTGATGTGTTTTCGGAAAAGTTCTTGGTCCATCGCCACGATGGCACTGAAATCACAAAACAACTCAGAAAACCAGCAGCAACTCTCAAACCATCATACCAATTGAAACTATATCACAGCCGGATTAACGGATAATTGAGAAATGTGCAAAATATAATCAGACTATGTTCATAATAAGCATATGCACATACATCCCAACAACACTTTATTAAACACTTTTGACCTCTGACCTTTCAATTCTGGTTGCGTTATCTATGCTCAGGATGTCTAGCCATGTCCTTGCTATAAGAGAGCCTGCTACTGAGAGGGTCAGACCGAACTGAAACCAATCTGTGTGACAATTCAGTTTTCACAATTGAACATCTAAAACCTCAATCAATGTTCATCTCACCTCTTTGCAAAAAACTCCAGGGCAGCACACTTTGTACAGCTTGACAAGACTGGCGAAAAACTTCTGATCCACTGCTACTTTTCTCTCTTTCCCAGTTGACTAAACAGACATCGCAATACTCATTGCACAGAAAATTCGTACCCAGGAGAAAAAAAACCAAAAACTAAGGCTTTGCAAATGAAGGATTCACTGTAACAACACCAAAAAATATCCCTCTCTAGCATCAGATTACAGCACCCCTCCCCTCATAAAACAAAACCTTTATGGTGGAGATTTAGTTTTTTTTTCTTATCAAAGATAAAGCGTTTAAAAATATTTTCTTAGGTTCAGCTCAGGTTCGTATTTTAAAGCAGAGGCAATGCGGAGCTTCACACCCCTTGCGAATTTGAGGAAATATTGAGCTAAAAATTCGCCGCACACATGTTCTTCATTGTCAAATTAACCGCACAAAAATTTCAACTAACACCGACATTTTGAACTGGATTACAATGCAAAAAACAGCTCACAAGACACGCAATGAAAAATTTGAAAACACAGAATACTGGAAAACAACGGAATAGAGTCTTTTCTGGTTTTTGAAAATCAGATAATCAAAACTGACAAAAAAAAAACGGAAAATTCCCTAATTTCATAAGAATGCCCAAAAAACATGACAAAAAATTAATTAATTTACACAGAGGCGAAGCAGAGCCTCGCATCACTTGCAATGGAAAAATTAATGAAAAACACTACTTGAAGATGAACCGACAAATCGAAAAAAAAACTTCGCCAAAATATTTAGAAAACTTAAAAACTGGAGCGAACGTTAAATAAGCATTGAAACAAAACTTAGAGCGCCGAAAATTCTTGTGCACAGTCACGTTGCGCCGAAAAAAAAAACTGATTTTATTGAACACTTCACTCAAGGAAGGCTAAAAGTCCCCTCAAAACTTTGGATTAAGCCTTTTTGCTCCTTAAACAACAAAAAAGGCATCTAAACCGATATATTATACGTTGAAACCTTTTAAGCCCAATAATGCGAAGGAGAAAAAAGTCGAAAACATTGATATTCTGAGCATTGATATACTGAAACAAATAGATGCAAAAAAAAACATATTTTGCCCTCAAAACTACGCAATATAATATGATTAAACCGATATCATAAGCCAAAACCATTTAATAAAAACACGAAAAAAAAAGCTATTCAAAGTCACATTTAGTAAAATTACAAATTACAGAAACTTCAATTAAAAAACAGGACCAACGAAAAAACGGTACCAGAAAAAAATGGCATTGAATAAAACTGTACACCATCTTGTAAATTAAACGGTAAATCTTGACCCTTGTAAATAAAGGGAAAAGGGTCTTGTAAATAAAGGGAAAAAGTCTTGTAAATAAAGGGAAAAAGTCTTATAAACGGTTGCAATACCCTAGCTTATCGCAAAAGTAACTCCAAGTTACGATACTAATAATTTCGATCCCAGAAATAAAACAAAGTCTGAAAGACGTTAAATTTTATTGAAAAAAGCCGTGCGATAAACAAAACTTATTTCGGCTCAAAACGTAAGTAATAATTTTGCTTCTAGGTCACGCAATCAAGTTTGCCTTTTTATCAAAAACAAATGCAAGACGACTTACTTTATCCGAGATGCAGACAACGGCTTGGTTACTAAAAAACGAAAACTTTTTATAACAGTTTATCATAAAACATTAGTAGTCAAAACTATACCAACGATTGCAAGGCTTTAAGCTTCATGTTGTTAACTCTGTTTAAGATGACATATATGGCAGCAGTCACTCCCGTTACCGCCACACCAGCTTGGCTGGGCGTCAAGTCTAAGCCAATTATCTCCGACATGTCAACCTGAAAATTGATTCAACTTTCCAAAAACAAAACACTTTTTTCACACTTAATTTTTTCGCATGTAAGTTCAAAATAACCACTTGATTAAACATATATGCTGCTACTAAATGAAATTATTATAATAAGTTTAAAATCAACAATTACACCGGTATGCATTGCTAATATACAATTACAACTTAGCATAAAAAGGAATAAATCATTACTTTTATTAACACAGAGGCGAAGCCATGCTTTGCACCACTTGCGAAACGATACAAAACAGCCACTAATTTAAAAAAGAACGAAAAAAATCAAAAATGCCGAAATCCATCATAACGAATAAATGAAGTAAAAAATATCAAAAACTCACACCAAGACAATAGAAGGTAAAAATAGAATCAGAAAAAAACTTACCAAGCTGTAAACAAGCCAAAAATACCTGAAAAGAAACCCTTAAAGCCGAAAAAAAACTTAAAAACTAATTAAAAGTTTTTATCCACCCATTCCTCTCAATACACACCAGCACACAAAAACTTTTTTCGCTCATCAAACGACGAAATATGAGGCCAATAAACCGATATCAAATAGGCCCATGCTAATCAACAAGAAAAAAACAAAAAAACGAAATTAAAAAAATCCAAGAAAAAACCTTATTTAACCGAGAAAAAAAGGAAATAAAAAAATAATAATAAAAAAACATGTTGGTAAAATTACAACTTACCTAAAAGCAAATTTCAAATAGGACGGATATTTAAAATGCTAATATGTTCAAAATATGTCGGTTGGAGTTTTCAACAGAGAGACGACTGCTGCAGTTCAGAGCGCAACGTGCGGAAAATGGAGATCTTGAAATTGGATATCATCCTGTGGACGAAGTTGTTTACGGGTAAAAAGTTTAGTACCCGAGTGCTTATGTGAAGCCAATGAGAGCGAATTTCATCGTACAAAAGTAAGTCCAAAATTTCATTAAAATCATTAAAACAATCAAGTAAAAATCAGTAATTGATTTTAATTTACGTTGGACGGAAGTATCTCCTTTCCTTTCAAGGGGATAATCAGAAGATCAAAAATTTCAAGCTAACAAAAAGTACCTCACCTTCAGCACGTCATCAAATCAAAACAAACTTAATTGTTCCGAGTACGACAGTGGCTACTTTTGTTACAAGGAAAATTAGGTTTTACAGAACCACCTACCCTAGGCTCCTCGGTAAATGTGCTTAAGTTTTTAAAAAAACTTGCTTTGAATATATCAGTGCTGGACCGGCTGCTCCTTGAAACTGAAAAGCAGGCGGTTGAAAAAGATAGCCAACATCAATTAAATCTCTATAGAAACACAAATGCCGGTTGCAGTGCAAGTTGCACAGAATATTCTAACAACACTCATGAAAAAACTACGTTACTAAGTTTTTTTCTTCAAATTAGTGTCGTTTTAGCGCGTGGTGATTAGAGAACTATACAAATGTGTTAAATATAAGTAAATTGGGCATAATCGACAACATTTGACATCAAAAAATGAATGAAACAAAAAAAGAAAACTTTAGCACAATGATTTGTTATTCTTTGGAATACCTTCATTTGGTTAAACCAAGTTTTCTTAGCCTAAAAGCCTTAAAAAAATTAATTTTCATAAAACGAACGTAACTTGATCGCTGTATTCGATCAAAACTGTACTAAAATTCAAAAGCTTTAAAACAGCTTTCAAATTTTTTGTCTTTCGAATCACAACTGAAAAGGCTAATTAATATATCACATACCTATGACTATTTGTAAAACCTCATTTTTCGTGGTAAAAAAAAAATTCCTCGCCATTTTCAATAGTCGGAACAAAAAGGTCATTTAAAAGCGACCCTTCCGATATACAACGGTCCATGCACAGGTTGATAAAGTCCCTACCAACGCCATAAGAAAACATCTATATAATAAAAAAAGCAATCCTTCTATGTCGGAATTCATCAAATCATGGGACTGTGTCGGTGCTCTAAGATTCTGTCTTAGAGCACCGAAAGTTACGTGGGCTGGTTCTCGGACTTTATTTCAATCGTTAAGGCCAATAAAAGATGAGACGCAGCCAATTCGTGCAGAATTGTGCAAACCTATTCAAGCTTAGAGATTCTCTCCCGGTTGTTCGTAAGCTTCTGTTTAATTTGGGGTTTGAACTTATGTTCGAGGGTGGACCTGATGTTCAGGTTTTACCTTTTCTAGTTTACAGTATGGTAATCTGCACTGTGCTCTTGTATTTCTTAGCATTCAAGAAAGAACTCTTTGCAGAGCATTTCATTATGTTTTTTGCCAGAAGTATTTTTGTCTCGTCGCGTCTAAACAGCATGGAGTGCTCTGACGCGTTGGCACAATGCAGCATGTATTCAAGCGCGCAAAAATCTTTTGCTGACTCTCAATCAGTTCTCATAAAAAGGGTTCGGCAATTTTCAGCCAGACCGCGCCACCATACTCTGCAATAGCGCAAACTGTCATAATGTAAGCCGTCCTCACCACCTTCTGATTGGGCCTTTCTTCCCGTATCAGCGACATAACTCCGACACGTCCAGTTCGCTATTTCCTCATCTCGGGGAGTGGGATCGACGGCTGCTTCGGGCAGGTATAGGAATCATGTTGAGATAGGCGCATCAGTTCTGCTGGCGCGAGGTCACTTCATTTCTGATGTTTGTGCATTCCACAACACGTGCAGCACACCGAGGAAAAATTACATCCCACTTCTGCACTACAATTCCACCTGGCTATTTCGCTGTGGAAACGATTGATGCCATGTCCAATGGAGTAGTTTCATCCTCAAATTCTTACCCAAACTTCTCCACTGCAACAGCTTACCCTTTAGGAGGATTGAACTTACTTCTCATCATTCAGCAGTTTTGTGTCTTCTAGCGGTCATCTTCTTCATCACTGCCGTTGCAATCTCCAGTCCAAGCAACGGACAGACACTTCCTGAGCTTTATCAAAACTCTCGCGGCTAAGTCATCGAAAACATACCGAAAGCAGCATGAAACCTCTGCAAATGGCCTTAGGACTCGCATCAACGACTTTAAGAGCAAACCAGCAAACAATAAATCTTGGATGCTCGTCTTGCTCTTCACGCATCTGTTTTAAAGCACCAGTAAGATCAATCTATCGCAAAAAGATGTCTATTACCGGTTTTGAATGAAAACAAATTTTCGATTTATTGGAACGCCACTTCAGCAAGACCGTTGAGCCAATCATGACATGGGCGTGAAACGTCAAGGTGGAAAAAAAACCAACACTGGCAGGGGAATAACGGAGAAAGTAAACCTGGGCGATATCAAAGTTCCAATTTCATATTACTTCAACTTCAAAAGGAACACTACTTGGTTCAACCGGGTACCTGCGACAATTTTATCTTTTGGAAAATTAAGGATAGTCCCATTGTCACCAGTGAAATTGCATAAAGTTTAATCAATGTCTCTCCAAATGCTTTGAAGCTGGTGCCTTTTTCTTCGAGCTAAAATGAAACTTAAAATACGATATCTCTTGAAACATTAGAGACGCCGGAGTCAAACCCCTTTTTTCTTTTACCAAGCAAAATGCTAGTCAAATCTGTGCTGCTCGATTGCTTGGTGTAGGCATTGCAGTTTCCTAGTCGCTCGTGCATGCGTGAGCTTAGAGCCACTTTTTTGCTATCATGGCAGTAACCACCTATAAGGACACGGGCTGGGCTTGGTCGGAAAACGCTGTGGAGACGGTTCTCCAGAGTCCCACACTAACGCTTTTGTATCTTGTTTCGGGCGCGACAACGTTTGCATCAGACAAAGACAAGGCATTCCCCTTAGGCAAACATATTGTTCCTCTACGTTTTGTATCGTGCAGCCTCCAGCAATGTGACATTCGACCAGAATGTCCAAAATGCAATCTCTGCAGAAATCGGAATTTTAGCAGTAAGCCTTCCGGATTGGTGGTTTTTAAGAACTAAGGACGTTATTGGAACGTTTAGCCAAACGGTGAGGGCTGGAATATTCTATTATTTTAAATTTTCAAAAATTCGAATGATGACGTCACATTTCTGAGAAATGCTGAAACGGCCATTTTAACAAGAAACGAGAGAAGAAACACAACAACATTAGTTGCGCTGACGATAGCAAAGACAATCGTGATAAGAAAAACAGCAGCAGATTGCAGAAAACGTTCCGAGTTGCAACTATTGTGCTGCTACAATAGTTGCAAGGCCGTTGCGAACAACGGTGAAGGGTAAGAAATCAGCCTTCCGGATTGGGAAGAAATCGAGATCAACGGGCTTGATTCACCGGATTCAAGAATCCGGAAGAATCTCGGGACGGAAAACTTTTATTGACTCGTGTGAACTTTTAGCATCCTGTCATGTCCTGACTTGAATTTAATTGATATTTGGATTAGTTTTGACAAGGATGAGGTGCTAGGAGTTGGGGGAAAGGGTTGATCCATCTTCGATGGAGAAGATGATTTTTATCTACTGAACAAAAACAATAGTAATATAATAAGTAGTAGCCCTGTTTTTAGGAGTGACCTCGTGGTCTGGGGATACTGAGACCCAGCCATGAGCTCACTATTTGCATGTAATTAAGTTAATTTGAGCGTTCTGGTCGAAGCTGGAGAACAGTAACGTTTTTGTCGACCCGATGTTGGAAAGACCACCGAAAAGTACTGGCTTGGTAGAGACGGTGAAAAGCATGCAAAGCTCTGTTTAGACGCTAGCCAGTCGTCTTAAGACTTAGTTTTGTTATCCGTCGATATGTATCTTCCGGGCGAATGTTACATACATGTTTTTATGGCGCTCCTGGGTTTTATTCTTTTTAACATCATGACCGGCAGAACCGTTAACGAGCACTCCGCGCCGAGCGGCTGCTCAAAATAACGCCCTTAATAGGCCTAAACCGCCGGGGCGGAAGGGTAGTTCGGAACGCGGAGGCCTTCCGGATTGCCGTGAATAGTTTTTTAACCTAGTTAAGACCGAAAATTCACGAACCAGGAAGGGTGGGGGGATCGGCCGTCCCCTCGTCCCCTGAGTGGTTTGT